CCACCTTAGGTGTACATGGCTGGCGCCTTAGCCGGTTGAGCTATAGGCGCCGAGCCTAAAACTTCTTTAAATTAGTAATTCTCAGCTAGAAACTAATCTAAATGTTTCTTTGCCAATTAATCTTCACTTTGTATAACCAGCTTGGATTTATTATTTCATAAGTTTCAAATGTCAAATTTTCTATAAATTCTACTCAGCATGGGAAAATTCATCTTAGCAGAAGTGATAAATTATTTAGAATGGTAATATACAAGTAGAGATACTAAGAGTAGGAATAAAATACTTTTTTCTACTTGAAAAAATAAAGTCGGCTCGGCGCCTATAGCTCAACCGGCTAGGGCGCCAGCCACGTACACCTAGGGTGGCGGGTTCGAATCCCCAGCCCGGACCCGCCAAACAACATTGACGGCTGCAACCAGGAAATAGCCGGGCGTTGTGGCGGGCGCCTGTGGTCCCAGCTACTTGGGAGGCGGAGGCGGGAGACTCGCTTGAGCCCAGGAATTGGAGGTTGCTGTGAGCTGTAGTGCCATGGCACTCTACCCAGGGGGATAGCTTGAGGCTCCGTCTCAAAAAAAAAAAAAAAAAGAAAAAATAAAGTCAACATTTTTTGGTTATAAAGTGAGATTATTTAAAATAAAATTATAAATCAAGGGTTTTTTAAATAGCCAAAGGCAGGAAAACTCATAACACTAACAACAAAAACAAACCTAATAGGGTAGGTAATAAGGCATCTTGCATACCCAGAAACATGTATTACACTCCGAACAATTTAAGTGTGAGATTTTAAAAACATTGTTTAAAAAGCTTACCCCTTCTGCTTCAAAGGTAATTCAAGTTTAAATATGGTAGCATCATTAACAACTGCTTTATATGCCTGCAAAAAATAATGTGAAATGAAATAGAAACATTACCTTCAGGATTTAAAATACAGAGATAATTATACTTCTGAAAATACATAAAATATAAATCTGTTTTTATTTCTTATGGCATTTTTGGTCTGAAAGAATATGTCAGTTCTCTCAGAAATTTTAGCACGCTTGTCATGCTGTATTATCAATATTCTCAAGTGGGATCTTACTGCTACCTGACAACCACACAGTTTTCTCTTGCCCACTCAGTCTCATCTGCTAGACAACATTTTTGTACCATCTCTTTTCTCCTTTAACCTCCAACAGTTTCTTCCCCACGTATATTCTCAGCTAATGACATGGTTTCTTTCCTATTTGAGAAAACTGAAGTAATCAGAATTCCCTCTTCTCAGTCCTACATTAATATTCCCCTCTTCATTGTACAGCCTCAGCATTAAAAACATACTGTTAAATTTCATATCTTCAAAAATATCTTTTGGCTTTTTTACCTTTCAGCTAATGCCAAAATTTTCTCTCTCTTTTTTTGAGACAGAGTCTCACTTTGTTGCCCTCAGTAGAGTGCTGTTGTGTCACAGCTCCAACTCCTAGGTTTAAGTGATTCTCTTGCCTCAGCCTCACAAGTAGATGGGACTACAGGCACCCACCACAACATCCGGCTATTTTTTGTTGCAGTTGCCACTGCTGGCCGGGGCAGGGTTCAAACCCGCCACCCTCAGTATATAGGGCTGGTGCCATACCCACTGAGCCACAGGCACTCCTCTCTCTCTTTTTTGTTTTTTGAGACAGAGTCTTACTTTGTCGCCCTCAGTAGAGTGCTGTACTGTCATGGCTCATGGCAACCTCAAACTCTTAGGCTCATGTGATTCTCTTGCCTCATGTCCTCAATAGCTGGGACTGCAGGCACCTGTCACAACACCTGGCTATTTTTAGAGATGGGGTCTCTTGCTCAGGCTGGTCTTGAACCCCTTGAGATCAGGCAATCCACCCGCCTTGGTTCCCCAGAGTGCTAGGATTACAGGCATGAGCCACCACACCTGGTTGTTTCTCTCTCTCTCTTTTTTTTTTTGAGACGGAGCCTCAAGCTGTCCCCCTGGGTAGAGTGTCATGGCTTCACAGCTCACAGCAACCTCCAACTCCTGGGCTCAAGCGAGTCTTCTGCCTTAGCCTCCCAAGTAGCTGGGACCACAGGCACCTGCCACAATGCCCGGCTATTTTTTGGTTGCAGCTGTCATTGTTGTTTGGCAGGTCCGGGCTGGATTTGAACCCGCCACCTTAGGTGTATGTGGCTGGTGCCTTAGCCACTTGAGCCAAAGGTGCTGAGCCTTCTCTCTCTCTTTAAACTAAAATCCTTAGAAGAATTCTCCAACTCACTGTCTCCAATTTCTTTCCTATATTCCTTATTGAAAACCACTCTAATTATGCTTTCTCCCCACCACTCTACACATCTGTTCTTGTCAAAGTCACTCCTGACCTCCATGTTCCTGAAGACAATGGTTATGTGACCTATCAGCAGCATTTTAAAACAGCAGCTCATACCTTCCTCCTCAAAGTACTTTCCCCTTATTTTCTAACACACAGCTCCCTCCTTACCATTTCACTCCTGCTCATTCCTCTCTCCTCATCTCTCTCACAATTATCAGAATGCTTAGCTGAGGCCAATCCTCAGATCTGTTCTCTCCTCTATCTTCACTCATTACTTTGGTGATCACTGCTTTAAATGTTACTGCTTTAAAAACCATCTATATGCTGAAGCTGCCAAATATACTTTTCTAGCCCCATTATCTTCCTTAAACTCCAGATGCAACATTGCCACATGGATGTTTAACAGACATTTCTAGATTAACTTCTTTAAAATTGAATTCCTGATCTCTGCAACCATCTCCCCCAAACCTGCTTCCCACAGGCTTCCCTACTACAGTGAACATATCCTTCTAATTGATGAGAAGACAAATCTGACTGTCATCTTTGACTGCTCTTGATCACATTCCACATCTGATTCATTAGCAAATCCTGTATAGCCTATCAGAACCTTAGCGATCCCTCCTCTGCGCATATACCCAAAAGTAATGAAATCACCAGCTTATAAAGATACCTGAATCCCATGTTCACAACACATTGTTCCTAATAGCCAAAATACGGTAACAATCTAAGTGTCTACTGATGGACACATAAACTATACACAATGGAATATTATTCAGCCCTAAAAAATAATTGTACAGGAGTTTTAAATGAAAGAAAAAGGCGGGGGGTGCATGATCTTGCCATTTGCAATAACATAGATGTGCTGGGAGGACATTATACAAGTGAAATAAACCAGACACAAAAAGAAAAATACTGCATTATCTCACTTAGGTGTGAAATCTTTAAAAAATTCAAATATACAGAGACAGAACAAGAGAGTGGTTACCTCTGGTGATGGGGGCAAAGAGACATGGGTCAGAGGATGTAAAGCAGCGTATATATAGGATGAACGAGTCTAATGTACAATTACACTGTATTGCATATGGGATTCATGCAAATGAGTAGCCTTTCCCTGTTCTTACCACACAAAAAGAAAATGGTGCGACAATGAATCTGGATCCCATAACATGTTATATATTTTAAATGTTTACTTTTTTTTTTTTTTTGAGACAGAGCCTCAAGCTATCCCCCTGGGTTGAGTGCCGTAGCATCACAGCTCACAGCAACCTCCAGCTCCTGGGCTCAAGCGAGTCTCCTGCCTCTGCCTCCCAAGTAGCTGGGACCACAGGCACCTGCCACAACGCCTGGCTATTTTTTGGTTGCAGCCATCATTGTTGTTTGGCGGGTCCGGGCTGGGGATTCGAACCCGCCACCTTAGGTGTACGTGGCTGGCGCCTTAGCCGGTTGAGCTATAGGCGCTGAGCCTGTATACTTTTTTTTAATGGAAAAGACACAAAATTTGAGAACTTAAAGGTATGTTAGAGTTTGCTACTGAGATGACAGGACTGACAGAGCATCAGTGTGGGTGAAGAGCACCTCACTGAAACCTCCACCTCCCGGGCTTAATCCTCCCACCTCAGACTCCTCAGCAGCTGGGACTATAGACATAGACCACCATGCCCAGCTAGTTTTATTTTATTTTATTTTTTTGAGACAGAGCCTCAAGCTATCCCCCTGGGTTGAGTGCCGTAGCATCACAGCTCACAGCAACCTCCAGCTCCTGGGCTCAAGCGAGTCTCCTGCCTCAGCCTCCCAAGTAGCTGGGACCACAGGCGCCTGCCACAACGCCCGGCTATTTTTTGGTTTGCGGCGTTCTTTTTTTTTTGGGGGTCCGGGCTGGATTTGAACCTGCCACTTTAGGTGTATGTGGCTGGCGCCTTAGCTACTTGAGCCACAGGCGCCGAGCTGCCCAGCTAGTTTTAAAAATATTTTTGTAAAGATGAGGTCTTGCCATGTTACCCAGGCTGGTCTCAAATTCTGGGCCTCAAGTAATTCTCCCATCTCAGCCAAATACTAGATTTATAGGCATGAGACACCACACCCAACCCAAAATTCTTTCAATGACTTCCCATCCTGCTCATAGAAAAAAATAAAATTCCTTACCATGGCTCAGACTCTTACTTGATCTGGCCACCTATTACCTTTCTTACTTCATTTTCTGTTATTTTCCCCCTCATTTCAATCCACTCTGGCCACTGTGATTTCTTTCCTTAGAACATGATAGGCACATTCCTGCTATTTCCTCTGGCTGAAACACTATTCCTTCAGAAAGCCACATGACTTACTCCTTCATCACCTTTGGTCTGAATTCAAATGAGAACCCAATAAAGTCCATGCAAGCTACACAATTTAAGACTTCAAACCAGTCTGTCACCTTCATACTCCCTAACTCCCTCTCTACCTACTTATTTATTTTAAAATAGAAAGAAGGAAAAGATCCCGCTAGAGAAAGCTGAGTGTCTATTTAGAATCATTCTAACTTGGCAAATAATTAAAGTTAATCAAAAAGGGAAAAAACTAGCAGTAATTTCTTCTGATTACTAGTGAGGATAAGAAAAGATGGTACACAACACAAATGCTTCCCTGGGAAGCCGATGATAAATGTAAGAGAACTCTTGAAGGAGCCCTGTGAAAGAATGGAGCAGAGGAATCAATTCTGCTTGGCATGTACCATGGAGGGAGGTAGGTACCAAGGAAGTTCCAGACAAGTATTCTTCAAGCTGGATCTTAAAGGAAAGATGAACAGGAACTCAAAAATCAGTATTAAAAAATAGGAAAAATGAGGAAAAGAGCAACTTTCTAGGTAAATTCACACGGATACTCAATGCTTAAAAAACATATACTAAGCCAAATACAGCTGTGCTCCATTTATGAAACATGAAGAGTTGTTGTGTTTTCAGTTTGCAGTTGAATAGCCTAAGGATGCACATTTCTTATTATGACAGTAACACTTTTAATACAAAGTGTTAATATATAAGGACTTATACCTTATCTCTTGCCGTAAGAAATCGTGGATCATCTTGAAAAGCTTCTTTGACGAGTTTACTGAATCTATTAAATAGTGTAAGTAACTGCTCAACATATTTCTCAGAGTCCTAGAAACAAAATGTTTTATATTTAATTGAAATTTTAAAAGGAAAATAGTATAAAAATGAGAAAATGCAAACATAACTTTAAACAAAGACTATAGTTTAAAATTGGGAAGATTTTTTTCTTAAAAATAAAATTAAAAGGTGTTCTAATATCACTGTTTTACCATTTTAATTAGTATTTTGAATACGCAATCCTGTATTTCTTATTAACTTTTTAATTTATAACAAATAAGTAACTGCACATATTTATGGAGTATGTGTGGTTTCAATGCATATATAACATATGTTTATATAATATATAATGATCAAATTGGGGCAATTACCCTATCAATTCAAACATTTATCATTTATTTGTGATGGTAACATTCAAAATCTCTTAGAGCTGTCTTGAAATATGTATTATATACTACGTTGTTATTTATTGTAGTCACTCTAGTGTGTACTAGAACACAAAAACTTACTCTTACTTCTGTGTGTGTGTGCTCTACCAGAGTCAAAGAAAACTCTCTAGTAATGAACCATAGAAATGATCCCTGAAAATATAGTTTTGTTTTGTTTTTTTAGATGGAGCCTCAAGCTATTCCCCTGGGTAGAGTGCCATGGCATCACAGCTCACAGCAACCTCCAACTCTTGGGCTCAAGCGAGTCTCTTGCCTCAGCCTCCCAAGTAGCTGGGACTACAGGCGCCTGCCACAACGCCTGGCCATTTTTTGGTTGCAGCCATCATTGTTGTTTGGCAAGCCCGGGCTAGGGATTTGAACCCGCCACCTTAGGTGTATGTGGTGGCGCCTTAGCCGTTTGAGCCACAGGTGCCGAGCCAAAAATATAGTTTTTTATTCTTACTCTAACTGTAAGTTTGTACCCATTGATCAATTCCACTTCCCAACTCCCTCTACCCTCCCCAGCCTCTGGTAATGACTACTCAGTCTTGAATTTTATTGGTTTCTTTCTTAGTTTTTTTATTTTTACTTTTTTTTGAGACAGAGTCTCACTATGTTGTTGCCCTCAATAGAGAGCTGTGCCATCACAGCTCATAGCAACCTCAAACTCTTGGGCTTAAGTGATTCTCTTGCCTCAGCCTCCCAAGCACCTGCAACTGCAGGCACCCGCCACAATGCTCAGCTATTTTTTTGTTGCAGTTGTCATTATTTAGCTGGCCCGGGTCTAGTTCGAACCTGCCAGCCTTGGAGTATGTGGCTGGCGCTGTAACCACTGTGCTACAAGCCTTCTTTATTTTTGAGACAGACTCTGTGGCCCTGGGTAAAGTGATGTGGCATCACAGCTTACAGCAACCTCACACTCTTAAGCTTGAGCAATCCTGTTGCTTTAGCCTCCCAAGTAGCTGGGACTACAGGTGTCCACCACAATGCCCAGCTAGTTTTTCTATTTTTAGTAGAGACGTGGTCTTGCACTTGCTCAGGCTGGTCTCTGAACTGAGCTCAAGCAATCCACCCACCTCAGCCCCCCACAGTGTGGGGATTACAGGCGTGAGCCACCAAGCCCACCACAATCTTAAAATTTAAAAGTAACTTTGATATGTATCTGTCACTGTCCTTGAAGAAAACTTACAGTAGTAATAGTTTCAGCAGCTGCTACCATATCTGCCAGGCCAGCACTAATGATATGCTCCTCCAAGTCTTTCAACATTGGCTCTATCCCATTGGGAACTTTGTCCATCAATGAAAACATTAAATGTAATTCTAAAAGGACAGAACACATTCATGTAATCATTTCATGTGCTAGAATAAACTTTCTCTCTATTTTATACATGTTATGAAATGTCTATGACAGTAAGAGTTTGGAGAAATATTAGTTGGAAGCCTGTACTATTAATAGTATTCTATAGATATAATTAGTAGGCAGGACTTTCTGATCCACCTTCTCAGTTTGACAGAAATTATTATTTTTTTAAATCTCATTAAAAGTGATCAAATACTGCAAAACCCAACTGCTTTAATAGGTGAGTCATTTGATCTCCAATGTGATGGAATATTTTTTATTCAAAGAAGTACAAAAGTTTACACAAAAGATTAGTATATTTCTTTTTTTTTTTTTTTTTT